TTTAATTAGTAAAAGTTTTCCTCGACTACATTTCATTCTAATTCTATTCACTGCTGTATTCCAAGATGAAACTCCTGTTGATTGTTGCTGCGGTCCTATTGTTACAACGCAGTCATCTAACCGAATGTACAATCAATCTTTTGTCGCTTGGAACAATTTATCTCCCATATGGATTCGACGATAACGGTGAACCGATGTTTGAGATGGGTAGGGGAGCAGCTGAACAAAGCGCCTTCGATGATCTTAACAACATTATATATGTAATAGGTGGGTTAAAGTTCATTGTTAATTAGATCCATCATGATTCTATCTGTTCTCGATAAAACGTAAAATTATTTCGTTGACTCACTTCATCACAAGTATGAATGATTCTAATATATTACTTGAACAATACTATAAATTTCTTGTTTGTTTTAGGCGAGACTGGTTTGATTCACGTTGTCGATGTCAGCGACCCAAAGAGCATGAAATTAGTTCACACAGTCACTCAAAACAACGTTTTGTCGGATGTAGAAGTATGTGGTAGTTACGTTGCCATAACAATGTTGGACGACTTCGTCCCGGGTAATGGTAATTTGCTCCTCTATAGTTTGTATGATCCGCTCAAAGAAAGTATGGAACTGATGTATATGTTACAAGGTGAGTATATAACTAAACTGGTGAACGTCAAATATGGGGATCATTGTTGTCGTTGATGCATAGTAAATGAATGTGATTTATTCCTGTTCTCGGAATGATGTGGTACAGTTTATGCGGGGAGTTTATGATTTCAATTTGCAGTAATAGAGTACAGCGCTATCAGAAAAAAAACTGCTAAATACTATAAATCCAAATTCATATGGTATACCTCAAAATACTATCACAAGTGATCACAAAAAATCTAATATATAGGTGTTGTAACAATGGTTTGATTTTTCCTTCAGTTGGTCCTAATCCAGACAGTCTTAAATGTACCTCAGACGGCAAGACAATTATAGTGGCGAACGAGGGTGAGGCTGGTACCAACGAATTCGGAAATTTTGAGGACCCCGAGGGCAGTGTTTCCATCATCAAATTAAGCAGTGGTGATTTAAGTGTAGATCCGTTAATTATCACCCAGGATACAGCTTGGCTGAATGTATTTAATGACAAGTAAGTTATCTCTAGCGTGATCCATGGACAGGATGGCGGAATTCTGTATTTAATATTGTCAACTAATCTTTATGTTTCTATATTTTACCCAAGAGCTTCAATATATTGTAGTGTCCAAAGCGGCAATATAACCACATAAAGTTGTCCTAATCTTACCCAAATATTGTTTTAGGCGCAATTGAATGGGCGCAATGTCCTACACATGTGACAAAAAATGACAGTGAAACCTAGGAAGGAGTAGTCGCCATTTTGTTGAAATCGGTCACGTACGATGCACAATTTCATGGGAAATAACACAAGTAATACATTTATCAGTTAAAGACCGTTTGACAGAGGCTTAGCCTTTCAGGATGGCGACTTTTTGCCTAGTGCCCATGATAAGTTGATATAATATGCCTTAATCCCCGTGGTTCGCGGTATGCGGTCTGCAGTCATCTTTTTAACCTTTGTCATACTTTTCACCTGCAAGAGATTTGTTGTTTAATATTGGGCATTAGATATATATTTATGTTTTTAGTGTTCACATGTTGTCGATAGGCGTTAAAACTTGGCACTGATGAAACAGGAAATGTTTTATTACAAATACAAAAATCAAAGAAAGAAAGATGGTGACAGGTATTGCCGCTCTAATTACGAGTGGTTGAGTTATACAAATGCTTGAAACCGAACTAATCGAGATGCATTTTCGTAAATGTCGATCACTTCTTCTACTTGTGGTGTTTAATATCATTGTATTTAAATGTGGTACGTATTCCTTCGTTTTCGGCAGCGTCAGTCGAATTTAAAAAAAAAAGAATCAAAATATGATAAACATTTGACCCAAAGTTCAACATTATCTTTCACAAATTGAGCTGGAAAAATTAATTAATAAGGTGCATGCTGATTACTAATTTAACATTATATCTTACATTTGCTGAACCTCAAATTTCGCATGTTACTATATTGTGTTAGAGAGCTAGATCTATAGATGAGTAGCTGCATCGAGTTCAACTCGGAATTGCACCTTTGTTGTCCACCATTATTGGGTATTTTCGCAAGTCATTAGCTTTATCCATGAAGGAACTTGTCTTGAGGTGATAGGTGACAGTATGATGATAATTTAGATCTAAATTAGCTAATTGAGAGCAATAAATGAGGAAATTTGTTTGAAAGCAAATTTGACCGTTGCAAATGTGCAAGTAACGACGTTTTTAAAATAAATCGTTAAATGTCAACATAAGAAAGACAACCATAACTCTTAATAGATCAATACAACACATTTACCTAGTGCGGGAGTTACTCGAATGTGACTGACTGATTATTTTTACTGAAAAACATTTCTACACGTTTATGTGATATTTCTTTTGTATAGGAAGTTATTGTAACTGATAATGCCTTTTAGGTTCATATGTATTTCATTATACATATTTTTATTTTTATTCAGAACTCCCATATAGTATAAACATTCGAGACATTCCCAGATTGATATGCACATGTGTTTAATTCGTTATACCTCGATTCAATAGTATGACTATGTTGATGTGGACATAATGGTCAATATCTCCATGACGCCCGCGAGAACCGTGTAATATGACATTGATAATCATATATTGTCGGTATCAAGTTATGTCTCGACATACTGTGTTTTAACAATCGAACAATCGAATCGAACTCTGTTCATAGGGCGGACGAGTATGTTGCCAATGGTGTCCGATGGATATATCATGGCGAGGGAAGTGGACAGATGACCACATTCTCCCAAGACCTGGAACCGGAATCAATGACACTGTCTGAAGACGAAACGACGGCCTACGTCGTACTACAGGTAACATATATCATGTATATTACACCTACGTACTGTATGTATATGCAAACAATACTGACAATTATACTATATTGCAGGAGAACAATGCGATTGCTGTTTTAGATATGATTACTGGTGAATTCAAAGAACTTTATGCGCTGGGATTTAAGAAATGGGATACGACTCTGATAGATGCTAGCGATAAAGATGGGGGTAAGACGAAAGATCTGTTTTGTTTATGGTATTGATTATAACAATCGTATATCTGACCCACTTTGTGTGATGTTTTATATGAATGATGTCTGATGTTTTGATGTCTCAATTTTTACTATGAAAGTGCATATAATTTTAATGTTTTTTT